ACTCTGGAAATTATACAAACACATGGAAATTAAACAACATGCTCTTGAATGACCTATGGATCCAAGAAGAAATGAAATAGGAAGTCAAAAAATTTCTTGAAACTAATGAAAATAAAGACACATCATACCCAAACCTGTGGGATACAGCAAAAGCAGCACTAAGAGGAAGTATATTGCAATGAATGCTTACATCAAAGAATAGAAAGATTTCAAATAAACAACCTAGAACTGCTTCAGGAACTCAAAGAACTAGAAAAACAAGAACAATCCAACCCAAAATTAGTAGGCAGAAAGAAATAATTAGGATCAGACCCAAAAAATGATACAAAAAGATCAATGAAACAAAAAGTTGGGTTTTTGAGAAGATAATCAAAATAGACAAACCATTAGCCAACTAAAAAAAGAAGAGTGACCCAAATAGCAAAAATCAGAAGCATTACAGTTGGTACCACAGAAATAGAAAGAATCATTAGAGACTATAATAAACCACTAAATGCCAACAAATTTGAAAACCTGGAGGAAACGGATAAGTTTCTGGCCACATACAAACTAAAATACCAAGACAGAACCAAGAAGACATAAAAAACCTGAAAAGACCCATAACAAGCAACAAAATTGAAGCAGTCTCCCAACAATGAAAACCCCAGGACCAGGTGGGTTCACTGCTGAATTCTGCCAAACTTTTAAAGAGGAATTAATACCATTTCTCTAGAAACTATTTCAAAAAATTGAAAGAGGCCATTCTCCCAAATTCATTCTATGAAGCCTGTTACCAAAATCAGACAAAGTTACAACAACAACAAAACAACTACAGGCCAATATCTTTGATGAGCATAGACACAAAAATCCTCAGTAAAATATTAGCCAACAGAATACAGCAACATATCAAAAAAATTATACACAAAGTGGGATTCATCCCAGAGATGCAAGGATGGTTCAACATGTGCAAGTCAATAAATGTGATACACCACATCAACAAAATCAAAGACAAAACCCACATGATTATCTCAATAGATGCAGAAAAAGCATTTGACAAAATTCATCATCCCTTCATGATAGATAAAGACTCTCAGCAAATCAGGTATAGAAGAAAAATATCTCAACACAGTAAAAACCACATACAACAAACCCACTGCCAATATAATCTTGATTTCTTAAGAAAAGGAACAAGACAAGGTTGCCTACTCTCACCACTCCTATTTAACACAACATTGTGAGTACTGGCCAGAGCAATAAGAGAAAAAAGGGCATCCAAATTAAAAGACAAAGTCAAACTGTCCCTGTTTGCAGATAACATAATCCTATATATAGAAAAACCTGGGCCTGCCCGTGTCTCACTCGGGAGAGTGTAGTGCTGACAACACCAAGCCAAGGGTTAAGATCCCCTTACTGGTCATCTTTAAAAAAAA